TGAAGGCGCAGAACGTGTGCACATTCAGAGGCCGGTAGCCCTGCAGCCCCGAGGGGACACTTCTGAAGCCGTTCTCGGGAGGAACAGTAAGAGCTCCCAAATGTTGGAAGAGTTGCTCAGTCTTATGTACAATGAGAGAAATGTAAATTAAAACTGCTTTAGGGGCATCTGGATGGCTCAGTCAGCGAAGTGTCTGCCTTCCAGCCAGGTTGTGACCCCAGGATCCTGGGATCGAGCCTGGCGTTGGCTCCTCAGTGGGGAGTCTGCTTCTCCCTCTGCCTCTGCCGCTCCCCCTGCTTGTACTCTCTCTCTCTCTCTCAAATAAATAAATAAAATCTTAAAAAACCTGCTTTAAAATATCATTTCCACACACAAGGCTGGCCATACCCAAGGCTGGGGAGCATCTGGGGTACAGGCACCGTGTTTTACCGAGCTGGTAGGAATGTCCATCAGTCAAACGTTTGGCAGGAAGTTTGCTGATACCTCCCCAAATATATGAAATTGCATCCTCAATGGCCCAGGGTCTTCTAGACGTTTAGTCTGGGATTATTTTCACATATGCTGTGTTTGAAGTGGCAAAATTTGAAAACTGCCTAAATCACTCCTAGCAGCATAGATGACTGTAAATGGAGTAACAGAGAACTACGGGTCTGTCAAGACATGCAGAGCAGAGTCAGGTACTCCTATGGAGCCCCCTCTCAGACCCTGGGTCCCATGAAGGACTGTGTTCCGTTCCAAGCAGCAAACACCTGACAATAACGTTGGCTCCGGGGTGGGGATTGAGGGGCAGTCACCTCACGGTGAGGATGGCTGCCAGAGTGCCATGATGCTCATTCAGGCCTCAGGGAGGGAAGGAACCTCACAGAACTGCATCCTTTTAGAAAGACTATGAGGTCCTGGTTGTAAGCTGCCCGAGGCCATGCTGTGCCAGCCTGCAGTCGGAGCACCTGCCGCCAGCTTTCCCAGGTAAGCAGGGGACTCGGGGCCTGGGGAGTATGAAGGAGCACTCGACCCAGGAGGCTGCTGGGATGGAAATGGTTGGGGAGGCTGGAGAAGGAACGTGGGACACCCAGGAGGCAGAGACGTGGGCGAGGCAGGGCTCTGCCAGCGCCGGGGTCCCCACTGTGGGCACAGTGCTCGCCAGCCCTCGCAGGCCTTCCACAGCCCTCAGTCAGCTGCTGAGCTGACACCTGCTGCAGCTCATTCCCTCTGTTCTAGACGACGCCAGGCCTTTTGTCTTTCTTCCTGGGGTTGGGACAGTCATTTGCATGTACCACTCAGTCCCGTGGTCTCCATCTGTGAAACGGGGTGCATGACGGCTCCCACTGCATGGCTTCTGGATGGCGGCTGTCCCCTAAACGGTCGGGATGCTCATTCCTGCTGCATTGTGTCCAAGGATGCAGGGAAGGCAAGGGTGCTATGAGGTGAAATCCATACCTCCTACGGGGACCAAGACGCTCTCCAGCACCCACGTCCTGGGTTAGGTCATCTATCCTTACACCATAACTAACGGAGCCAGCAGCAAGCCAGCTTTTGCTCAATGTTCCCGCTCCCTGCACTGAGGAGAGAAGTGGAGAAGAGTGTGGTGGATGGGCGGCCGAGCCCTGTGGCTCCTCTGTGTCCACTCACTCTCACAGGCTCCCGGCCATCAGCAACTCTCAGCAACTCGCAGGACGCTGACCTGATCTCAGCATCTACAGGGCCGCCACGCTCAACTTCTGAGGACAAGTGTGATGTGGAAACAGACCTCTTTAAAAATTAAACTCAGGGTGTCTGGGGGCTCAGTGGTTTGGTTGAGCCTTTGGCTCAGGGTGTGATCCCGGGGTCCTTGGATCGAGTCCCACATCAGGCTCCCTGCATGGAGCCTGCTTTTCCCTCTGCCTGTGTCTCTGCCTCTCTCTCTGTGCTTCTCATGAATAAATAAATAAAATCTTTAAAAAAACAAAAATACTAACCTCAAAGGTGATCCTTTACCTGCAGCTCTGCCCTCAGACACTCAAGGTATGAGGATGTTTGTAATGCTTCACAAGGTAGGCTGCATGGGATTGCGTGTTTCAGACTTTGCGCTTGGCCCTGATTACACGCTACTGTGCTCCCTTGCAAACGTTCCTTCAGGCACCAGCCAGGCTACTGACACAGGTGCTTCCCCCCAGGGCCTGGCTCCCAGGGGTTCCAAGCCTCCTGCAAACACTCCCCACCTGGCCCCACGCTCTGCAGGCTCCAGGAGCAGGTGGGCCCACATCAACTGCCCTCTCCATCCCTGGGCTGAAGGACACCCCTGGGGTGTCCGTGAGCCTCTCGGGGCCCCCACAGGGCAGCTCTGATGCCCCTGGGAGCAGCCATGCCCCTCCCCACGTTCTCACCCCATGGCTGCCAGAGAATTCCCTCTATTTCCCTGCCCCGGCCTTTCCTCTCAACCCTGACCCTGTGGTGTCTCTGGGCCTCGGTCAGCATGTACTCCCCTGACTTACCTCTGGGTGGACCATCCACCCACCCTGGACCCCTTGAGCAGAGGTACTAATCCTTCCCCCCCTCAGCCTCTTCCCCAAGAAGGCTACCCAGGCCTAGCAGGCTAGTATCACCAGTGCTGTCACTGGAGGAGTGGGTGACCTGCAACCCCTGACCCCCTACTGACCCGTCAGCCCTTGAGCTCCCTTCTTCCATGCAAAGCCTCAGTGCCTGCTTCCTCTCTCTGGTCACTTTCTGGCTGCAACGTTTATTTCTAGAATTCCCTTCCTGTGGCTTCCAGGCAGGAAACCCTGGATTCTATAGCAGAGTAACCAGACCAAGAGGGGGCTGGGGACTGGGAGGTGGGGGCTCCTTCCCCAGGTGACCCTCACCCTGGGTCAACCTGCTTCCCAGGTCAGCCCTGCCCCCAGATAAGCCCCACCTCTGGGTCAATCCTGCCTCCAGGTCACCTCCACCCCCAAGTCAGCCCTACACGCCCCCCCATCAGCCCTGCCCCTGGGTCACCTCTACCCCTAGGTCACCCTTGCCTCTAGGTCAGCCCCACCCAAGGTCTGCTGCCCCTGACAGTGCTCTAGCGTGTCGGGTCATTTTGCCTTTCTAACCTCACACTTGTTCCTTCCAACATGCTCTCCATCCTTTGCTAACGGAAATGTTGCACTGTTGCGCACTGGCCACAGGTTTTGGTGAGGAGTGTGTTTTCCAGATAACTCGGCCATCTCCTCTCCACCTTATGGTGTGCTCCTGCTGCCACCCTGCCCTGGACACCATCACGTCTGTAAGTTGAGGTGTCACAGGTGCATGACGTCCATGGTGCAGCTGCATATCTGGAGCAGCTGGTTCCTGGGATTCACCTGGACCTCGTGTATTTTATCTGATGGTCTTTGAATCCTTCGCATGTAGTTTGGGGAGATCATCATGTTGCTGTCTGATAAATATGAACATTCCCTCACGGAGGGTTGGGCTGATTGATCACCGAAGAATTATCTCCCTTGTAGCCTTAATGAGGTAGAAGGTCAGGCATCGGCGCATCCCTGGGGTTCTGACACACGCAGGTTTGCAGCGGCTGCCTCGGAGGACACGGCCAGGCAACATGGAATGGGCCCTGGGCTGGCCACACTGTGCCCGTGGCCTTCCCGGCGGGGACCCCGGGCCCAGGGCTCCCCACGAGGGGAGGTGCTTGGGGTGGTCAGCACAGGGTGGCCAGAGTGCCTGACGCCGCCCATCATGCTGGGTCAGAAGACAGAACGTCAGCACAGGTGCACAGGCAGGAAGTGCCTAGAGGCCCCCCAACGCATGTCACTGTGCAGACCGTGCTCCCACCGCAGGTCAGGATGTGAGACGCAAGGCTGGGGTGGCAAACCGCCAAGTGGCGCCCCGAGACCCCCCCCAGGAGCCAGAAGGACGCAGCGAGAAGGGGGCAGCTATGCACAGGGAAGGGGCCTCCCCACACTCCCACACTGCAGTCCCTTGATCTTGGGCTTCAGCCTACAGGGCTCGAGGACACAGGGCTCTGTGTGCGGTGTTCCCCTGATGGCGGCCTCAGGAGTGGGGAGACCACGCTCTGCCTATCACCCCAGGAAGCCTGTCTCCAGGAGGACAGTCGTGGCTAATAGCTCGGGGCTGTGCTTTACAAGCACCAACAGGAAGACGCGTGTGGCCCAAGGACCCAGGAGCCTTCAGGAGACAGCCAGTGAGATGGACACCTCTTAGCATAACTCAAACAGCAACTGTGTAGCACGGCTATGCACCACCTCTCCACACGTGGCCCTCTGAAGTCAACGCGCAGTTTGGGGAAAGATAGGATAGGGAGCCGGACAGGCAGGAGGGGGTGTCTACACCAGGGCCTCTGGAGGGCATGTCTACACCAGATCCCCCAGGGGAGCATGTCCACTCCAGGAGCCCCAGGGGGCGTGTCTACACCAGGGCCTGGGGGTGTGTGTCTACACCAGATCCTCCAGGGGGTGTGTCCACACCAGGAGCTGGGGGGGAGGTGTGTCTACACCAGGGCCTCCAGGGGGTGTCTTGCCAACCAGCAAGGCTCTGAGCCCCTACCTCTGTCCCCCTCACTGTTAAGTAGAATCAGTGACACCCCCCTGCCTCCCCGACCACACCTGGTGATCTGCCTTGGAGGGGAAGACACCATGATTGTGTCCTGGTGGATCAGAGGTTGAGCGACAGCAGCACACACAGCAGGCGCTCACTGATGCGAATTCCACACTGAAAACAAAATGACCAGGGCAGAATCCCATGCGTGATTAGGCGTGTGCGGGTGCACATGCTCACCCTCCCCTGAGCCCAGAGGACCAAGCCTGAGGCGCTCTGACACTGGGTTTCATCTCGCCGGCAGCTGCCTGACCAGTCGGGTTCGGTGGCCAGCACGTTGTCACCGCGGCTTCTGACATGGCCTGGGTGTGTGGTGGGAATCAGGGGACGTGTGTTGGCGGGAGCCCCCTCCCCGCATGCCCACCCTTGCTCCCCCTCCTGCAGGCATGTGCCCTGCGGTTCCTGGTGGAGAGGACCGCAGCCCTTACCAGGACCATGTGGCCGGTGGAGATGTCCATGTGGGGCTGCACGGGCTCCTCGGACCAGGACGATGTGCTGCTCCTGGCAGAGGGGCTGGCCATCGGCCCATCACTGAACTGGGATGACACGCTGTTGATGCGCGACGTGTGCGGGGCCTCTGGGCGTTCAGATGGGCGCATGGCCATGCGCTGCCGGCACAGCTCCTGGGAGATGGGGAAGGAAGGTCAGTGCTGCTCCTGTGGCTACTGCGTGCCCCCAGCCCTGCCCCACCCAAGCGCTATGGGCCACACGGGTCTTTTGTGGCCATGCCCCCCCCCCACATACACAGATGTCACACACACACATGCATAGGTGTACACACACACGGATACACACATGTGTGCATGCACACACAATAGTAGACACAGACATACACAGATATCACACACACGGATACACACATATGTATGTGCACACACAATAGTAGACATGGATGCATGATACACACAGATATCTCACACATGGATATACATACACACAGAGATGCACACATGTATATGCACACCATATACACAAATACACATGGATTTATACACACAGATACACACATGTATGTCCACACACAAAGATGTCACACACATGAATGTACGCCCCCAGCCGCACAGATACACACACGAATACCCATACACAGCACACACACACACACATACACACAGTGCACACACATAGACAGTGAAAAGGGCGCTGGACCCACCGGGGCGGGGATGCTACACTATCCTCGGAATGAGGCAACGTATGTGCAGGTGGGGCCGTCTTTCCTTCCGTGTTAGGATCGTGGTCGCGGAGGGAGAGATGGGGTTTACACGGTGCTCTGAAGTTGCTGCTGTGCTCGGGTGTTCAGGAGCAACCCTGCAACCTCTCTTTGGTTCTTCCCTTTTTTCCCCACCGACACCCAAACTGATGAGGCCCCACATGAAAACGAGCAGAGAATGTCACGCATGGACAGGAAAGCATGTGCTTCATTGGAAAGGATTGGTTCTCTGACAATATCCCAAAGACAAAGTGTCCAGGTTTAAAGGAAAACCCCAGCATGTCGGGTGAACGAAGCTACTGTCGGGTCACTGTGGGGTCGGGCCATCCCCACACAAGGCGGCGTGTGAACCTGGCGCTGGCGGGTGGCGGCGCTCAGACACAAGGAACCCAGCGGAGCTGCACACCAGCTGCCGCTGTCACCCAGGGTGGGTTGGCCGGGACCCCCCCATCTCACCAGCAAGACACCCTGGACATGCTCCTGCGTCATGATCTGATTAATTCCATCCTCCTGCCCCCTGAATCCACTGTGGGAACCTAAGCCACCAAAATAAAATGATAGCAAGAAAAACTGTAAGAGAAGCTGAGCCCAAGAGACGAATCAGAAATGCATTCCTGGGAAGAATCCTCTTCTTCCCAGCTTCCCATGCTGGGGAGCTGCATGGCTCCCGTGTCTGTGTCCTACCCCGGGGGGTGCCCAGGGTCACCTGTGCTACCAGTTCAGGTGCCCCAGGGCAGGGTAAGGCCCGCGGAACCCTTCACGCAGCTGCCCTTTCCTTTGGCTTTGAAGACCCTCCTGAGGCGGCTGCCACCTTGGAGGAAAGACCCCGTTCAGCGCAGCTCCCGGGAGCCAGATGGTGCACACAGCCCAGCACAGGTGCTCTCCGGGGACCCTCCTCCTGGCAGAGCAGCGGGTCTTGGGGAGCAGGGCTGTGGGCATTCAGAGGACCGGGGGACTTCCAATGATGGGTCGCGGAAGGGCAGGAGGACACCGGGCTGCACGTCTGCGGGTGCCCCCTTCATCCTTGTGCTTGCTGGCTCACACGTGGTTTTCAGACAATAAGGTTGTTTAACACTCCCGCCTCCAACACAACGGGGGTTCCAACAGGTGGGTGGCTCTGGTCACCACTTCTCTCTATGGACGCACGCAGGATCCTACTGGATTTTGTTAGAAAGCACCTGAAATGCAATGTCTGCACTCACTACTGTGGTTTATTTAACACAGTTCACCTGCAAGAGTAAGCAGTGAGTCCAATGGAAGCAGAAGGATACCTGCAGCACAGCCAGAAGTGCTCAGAACATGTCCTCCAGGAAGGAGCACCTCTGGCGGAGGAAGGTTCCCGATGGATGGCTGGGGTTTATTTACAGCAGCCGGGGTCACACCAGCTACGTGCCTGCCGCACACCTGTGGAGGGAAAGAGGAGGACGACCACAAACGCTGGGAGGAGGATGTGCAGGGTGGGCCCCCACACACAGCCCCGAGCCCGCCTGTTTCCACTTTGAAGATGCAGGTACCAGTCTCGTCCCCGAAGACGTGCGTGCTGCGCTGCCATGGGGAAAGTCCTCAGTCGATCATCGGAACAGTGCGGGTCTTCGCACAACAAAAATGAGAACAGCTCTCAGCCCACACGAACATGCAAGCGCTCAGTGAGTTTGATGGTGTCTGTCGAGGGAGCACAGCATTGTGGGGTTGGGGAGGCATCTGGTTGTGTGCTCAGACCTCCTCGTGGGACAGGGGATGTGGCGGCTGACTGTGGACGCCCTGCGGGGCCCTGCAGGGCTGGGACCTGCGGCCCGGTGCTCTGACGCCTACTCAGTGCTTGTATGTCTTTCTTTAAACAAACAAAATGCTTAAAAACAGAGGAAAAGCTCCAAGAAGAAACGGTCCCCAGCCCATATCCAACAGCGTGCGCGCCTGAGAGTGTGGCGGTGGCCCTAGCGTGGCTGGGTGGGGGTGGGGGGTGCCATTTGCGGGGGCAGAGCTGGAGCGTTCCTGGGCCAAGGAAGCCCACTGCCTCCATGCAGAGGCTGGGCCTCATCCCCACATCCTTTACATTGTACAGCAGGTCACAGCTGGGGCCACCTGCTCAGGTGGACCTGGATTTTGGACTGACTGTGCATCCTGAACTTAGAGCCGCCAACACGAGGAGTGTCCTGACACAAGGGTTCAGTTGGAAATGGGTTCTGGGGTTTGAAGCCAGTCTGCCTGTGCAGCCCCTGCAGCCCCGCTCTGTGGGCGGCCACCTGCAGCATGCTCCTGGGCTTCCCAAGGGCGGGGAGGGGGCACATGCTGGGGGAGGGTCTGCACCTTGGGGCATGTGTGGCAGGCCCTGAGTACAGTCTCAGGGGGAGGCTCCGCCTAGAAACCAGGGTTCCAGAGACCTGAGCTGATTCTTCTCCTTGGATTCCAGGAAATCATTCACCTGCTGATAGCACCTGAGTGACAGCCTGACTGTGGTTCTGGCTTTGGGACCTGAGGGCTGTGTGACCTGGGGCAAGCCACCTGGCCTCTCTGAGTCCTGGTTTCCTCATCTGAGGGCTCAGGTGCTCAGAACTTGCACAGCCCGTGAACAGCAAGCACTAATCACTCAGCTCCAGCGACGCATGCACCGTCCCTAGGTGCCAGGAAGACCCATCTAGGAGGACCAGCCGAGTCCAAGCTCCCTGGCTCCTGGACCTGCGCACAGCACCAATGACATGGACACCGTCTGCTGGGTCTTTCGGGGGACAGGAGCCGGCAGGTGGGGGCCTCCAGGATGGGGCGCGGTGGATCTGCCAGGTGTGCTGAGATGCCGGTGGGGGGGGGGGGGCGCCGGAGAGGCTAAAGCATCCTGGTGGCCAGAGCACAGGGGAGAGGGCCCCACCTGGAGCTCTGTGTTCTGCAGAGACCGCGCTTCAGGTCTTTGCTGGGCCTGCGGGTGGTGGCCCCCGCTGCAGTCAGCTCTCTCGGGAGCAGGATGTGGACAGCGGGGTGAACGGTCCATCTGGTCGGAAACGCAGTCAGAGGCGTGGTTATCTGTGCCGTGGAGGCTCCGAGGGACGCTGCTGTTCACGTCAGCCCCCTCCCCCATACTCCTCAGTACCCCCCAGCTTTGATCGTGTCCAAAGAGAACTCCACCTGCCCTTTGCACCTGCCTGCAACCCACCGTGGCTGAGGCACCACTTCTCATGCCCGAGGTTCATCCGTGACCAGCCCCTCCTCTCAGGGGTTGCTCCGCCCTTTCTGTGGTCTGGGGTCTGCTCTCTGCCCTGAGGAGGCCACTCCTGTGACCTTGGACAAACCGTGTCCCTCCCCCGCCTCATCTTCCTAACCTAGGACTCGGGAAAGAATGGGAGGCTGGCCCCTCGTTAAAGGGTTGCTGCAGCCGGTGTGAGCACGTGACAAGGTGGGGGTGCCGGCAACTCCTTGGCTGTGGGGGGTCTCCCTCCAGGCCGGACACAACAACGCCATGCCCGTCCATCCACCAGGAGAGGACACCTGCCAGGCCTGCTGCCTCGGGGACGGGGCGAGTGTGCGTCTTCACAGGAGGAGACGGCACCCTCCTCCCCTGCTGCGCTCTCTGAGGGAATCACCATGTGTCCTCTAATTAGTGCTTGAGGCTGATTATGGTTTGTAAAAGACTAACAGAAATTCTGCATTCTAACCAGTCTCTGCACTGCTTTAAAATTACAATTTCCTAAGGACAATGGAACTTCTTTTTAAAAGACAAGATACAGACTATGAGCTGACTTAGTCATGGTCTGGCCAGGGTCAGGCTCAGGGTCAGTCTCAGGCTCAGGGTCAGTGTCAGGGTCAGGCTCAGGGTCCTGCGCTATGCAGATATGAGCCTCTCAGCAGAGCCGTCTGGCTTCCCCAGTCTCCCCTTTGACCAGAAAGTTCTGCTGGCCTCTGGACAATACCACACTCTTCATGTAAAAGTCTCATCTATACCTAAAAAAGGCGATTGCGGTCACACAGAAACACCTGGGGATGTGATCCTCTGGACCCCGTAGGCAGTGACCCAGCAATGGTTTAGGCATAAACACTGATTTAAACTGTACTTGAAGTCCGCAGCACTGTTCCCACTCCCTGTACTGCTTCCCTGCATTTACTGCCTTGTATTCACCATCAGCTTGCGGGGGGCCCATGCGGGACAGAGCAGAAACTCACGCAGCCACTGACAAACACTGCATTCCCAGCGAACACTCTGTAAGGAACGATCTGGTGAGTGTAGAGCATAGGGCTGGGGCCATCTACAGGGAGCGTTTCATTTGTGCAAAGGAGGACGGGCAATGTTCCATAAACAATGCAAGTGCGCCCGGGAAGGAACCTGGGGACCCACCCAATGCCGCTCTGAAATCTGTATCATTCAGAATCCTGGCAGGAACGCAGGTTCCTGGGGCCGGGTTACGCATGCCATGAACCGAGGGTGGG